TAAGCTTCTTTTACCTCCTGAATATGATTGGCTCCCACTTTCTCTACTTATCCTTCGGCAGCGAAGTAGGGAAGCACTATCCTGGATCAACAGCTTTGACATATAATTTGTAGGTAAGGAGAATTTTCTAGAGGAAGGAACTACCCACACAATTATGATTTAGACATTTAAATTTGGTTACAGCGCTCCCCTCTATTTTTAGACAACTGCTTAGGTGAAGCTTTCTCAGAAAAAGCTTATGACAATGCGGCTGGACTCTTAGATGCTCTCTCGAGAATGTTTATCGCCAAGTTAAAGGATTTGTTGTTAATCCATGTCCTCTGGCAACTTTAGTCATATACATTGGATCCACTGATAGAGTAAGCATTATGTTTTATCGTTACTAGCATATGACTTTAAATCTGAAGGCAGATATGTCTCCTGTTATTTCAATAATGTTTAGCTAAGTAGGAGGAATTTCTTGTCAGCCTGTTAATCTGTGTTCTATTGTAACTTCAATCAGATAACTGCGATGCCATTGATGTGCCAAGAATTAGTATCTTGTGAAAAGGCGGCGGCATTTCAGCTAGGCCTTTAACGGTGATGTTTATGGGATTCAATGTTAAGTTTTGCAACTGGTTGCTTGAAGCAAGGCTCTTTGAGAGCCCAGAATTTCCAACAGTACATCAAAATAAAATAAAATCTTAGCTTCCACAGCTTAATGCTTCTCTCATAGCTCTGTACCAGACTTTCACTCAATAGTGGAATCAGTGTCCTTGTTACACTGCTACTTTTGCCTTTCCTATAAGTTATATCTTAAGTAATAGATATTATGTAAGAATGACTCTTCTAGATCCATTTCGGGGAAGTGAGCATCAAATATATTTCTGTAGCTACACACACAGAGTCTTCATTTGTCCCATCACACCGGTTGATGTAATGGACTTGCTCCTCTCCGCCCGCGGACTAAGTCACAATGACTGAACCGCATAAAGTATCTCCTTGTTGTCTTTGTTATTCGTCATTATAAGGCTCATTTGTTAAATTCAGTACTCTCTAGGACTCCCTATCCTGGTTTGACTAGGTGGATATGCATACTTATCAGAATAAAGCTCATGAGAGCAAAGAGGACTTAGATAATGTTAAGACTTAAGAGTGTCCCATATTAATTGAAGGAATGGGTATATGGTCTTGTATATTCTTCAACTAATAAAGTAACTTTTAGAGTTGACTAGATCCAAGGTACATTTCTTAATCAATAAAGCATCTCAATAAGTTTGTCGCATCAACTACCAAATCCAAACTATTTCAAAAAATTCTCAACGTTTGATCAGCGAGAATTAAGGAAATACAGAACGTTTCAAGAGCCCTAATTGGATTACTATAACTTACCAATTCCTTCAAAGGACAAATTACAGAAGAAAAGGAAATTGCAGTGTGAGGAATGATTTATTTATGAAAGAGGAGCTTACACGTTAAAAGTGCCAGAAACGGTGTCGTTAGCAGAACGAACGGCGGATTCGAGATCGAAGCTGCCGATGAACGCAGTGCTGGCGCTCTCTTCCGATGATTTAGCGGATGCGTACGAATTCCAATCAGCCAGCAAAGAAGGAGTTGAAGAAGAAGTTTGTTGTTGCTCAACATATCGATCTTCCCCGCCGCCGCCCCCCGCTGAAAACCACTTCTGCATTATGAATCTCTTTCCGACGAGTCCACCACTGCCTTAGGCTCACTTATCGCATTACTAGTTGTAGGGAAATTTTGAACCGGATCCGCCCCGCCGGAGACACAATTGCTTGCTACTTTTCCACCTACCGCCAACTCATGTTCCGGGTACTACAATGATCTATCGTTTCCACTTTCCACTTTCTCTTCTTTTTTTTCCCCAACTTTCAACCTTGGTCCTTAAGCAACAGATCAGTGTCTTGTTATCATCCCATGGAAATTGTTCCCTTTTTCTACCTTAACCTTAAGGGGCCGTTTGGTAGGGTGTACAAGAATAGTACGGAATAATATGTATTAATAACGTTGTGATTAATTATATTGAAATTATCTTTTGTTGGTTGTTTAGTTTGGTATACTAAAAATAATATGCTCTATATAATTTTTCTAGAAAATTATTTATTTACAGAAATTCCCTCCGACAGTTTGAAAGATTTGAAAAAAGTTTTGAAAGGGTAATTTTGTCTTTATATATATTTATCTGTATCTTAAAATTAAGGGTTGCTAATGACATGATTTGTTATACATAAGAATAATACTAAATAGCTAGGGTGTATATACATAGGTTGAAAGACAATACTCCCTCCGTTCCAATTTATGTGAACCTGTTTGACTGGGCACGGAGTTTAAGAAAAAAATGAAAACTTTTGGAATTTGTGGTCCTAAACAAGTCCAAATGGGGCACAGAGTATTTGTGTAGTTATAAAAGCTTCTCATTAAGGGTAGAGTTGTAACTTTAAGCTAAATTGTTACCAAATTTAGAAAGGGTTCATTCTTTTTGGAACGGACTAAAAAGGAAATAGGTTCACATAAACTGGAACAGATGGAGTACTAAATAAGGGATTAATAATGCCAAAGCTAATCCATGAATTATTTTTCCTAGTAAATCCTATCAAACGATCCCTAAGGGTTAATTATACTAAATATGTTGTGATGTGATTTAGTTTCGAATATATCATTATATTTTTAAATTAAACATCGTACATCTTTTGCTTTTTTTTTTTTTGGTGAACTAGATAATTATATATACATACCAAAAATAGTTACAGCATTGTTTGGGAGCTGATGCTCCCTATTGTTTCGTTACCATTGTCTTGTCATACACTAGTGTTTACCCTTACATTACGGACAAATACAGTTTTTAGGATGTATACCCACAGTGACTTGTTTACAAACACCGGAGGAACTATCAAAACTTTCGTCATATCAAAAGCCTTTTTCCCTTCTCCTTCCTTTGTGATGAGGTCCGCCACCTGATTTTGTTCCCTAAACTCATGCTCCAGTGCTGGATTCCCTAGCTTCTCCATCAAGAACCTGCATCCGTGAATAATAGAGTTAGAATGCAAGTTCCCTTCCTTTATCATTCTGATAACCTGTTCTGAGTCAGTGGAGATTAGAAGTGGTGTGAGCTTATGCTGGAGTGCTAGTGTTAGCCCTTGCCCTAGGGCTTGAATTTCAGCCTCAAGGGATGTGGTATTGGGTAGGCCTCTCATGTAGCCCATAACCAGTCACCCATGCTATTCCTAATTACCCCCATATTCCTCCTACTCGTGATATTGAGCATGCTACCCCATCAATGTTGAGTTTGTATGTGCCAGTAGGGGTGGCCTCCATTTGATATGGATTTGATCTTTTTCAGTCCTAACCTTATGTTGCACTACAACATGATTGTATTCTGTGGCTCTAGCAATGGTCTGTTTGACTCGGATAGTGTTCCTTTTGTTTTCAAAAAGGTTGTTGTTCCTAGTTAGCCATAGATCCCAAAAGCAGAATGGTAGCAGTGATTTCCAGGTGATAGCACTGTTGAACAGCATGCTCTTTGTTTTGTGCCAAGTATCCTCCCAGTGGGTCATTGAGAATTGAAGATGTGTGTGAGAGGATTCATTGGTACATTCCATAGTTATTGAGTTCCATAATGACTTGGCATTGGTGCATTCGAAGAAGATGTGGTTGATATCTTCCACACCAGAGGAGCAGAAATGGCAAAGTGAGTAGACATTTAATCCTATATTTTTTAAGTGCATGGCAGCGGGGAGTCTATTATGTTGCATCATCCAGGTGAAGAATTTGATCTTGTTAGGAACTCTTAGCTTCGAGATCCAGCTGAAGGTATCATCATGGTTAGAATTGGGGTTGGTTTCAGAACTAATCAGATTGTATGCTGATTTTGAGCTGAATAGCCAGTTGCTGGTAAGGTTCCAGATGAGTTGATCCTCAGAGTTGGAGGCTATGGGAATGAAAGTAGATTGGATCACACGCTTGATGTCCATTGGAATGGGGTAGTGGATGGCATGAAAATTCCATTCCCCATTGCTGAGGATAGAGTTTATCTCGATGGTTAGGTCGTTGCTCTGCCATGGCCCCTGGATGATTTTATTGAGGGGGTGCAGATTTTGGATCCAATTGTCAGAGAGGATATTGACTCTGTCCCCTTTGTGACCAATCCATCTAGATGCCTTAAGGCAAACCTCCCAACCTTCCTGAATACACCAAGTCCTAGTTTTTGGTTTGGTTCTAATTTGGTTTCCACTACAGTGGTTTCCAATCAGGACTCTAGCCCACATGGTGTCAGTGTTATTGTAGAGCCTCAAAGCTAGACTGGTCATACTAACTTTATTTTTTTATGTGTGCTTGCTGAATTCCAGGCCCCCACATCTTTTAGGCTTGGTGATGGTATCCCATTTGATCATATGGAGCTTCCTTTTTTCAGCAGTTGTTCCCCAGATAAAATTCCTTTGGATTCTATCAATCTGGTTAGAGATGTCGGATGGTAGCTTAATGTAACTCATGACATGGCTGGGGATGCTCCCTAGGCTTGCTTCGGCTAAAGTTGTATGCCCAGCCATGTTCAACATTTTGGTTTTCCATCCTGTTAGTTTGGTGTTCATACTGTCAAGAATGAATTGGAAATCTCTGTTGGTGGGCCTTTTATGGAAGATGAGGAAGTCCAAGTACTTACCAAAATCATTGCTTTCCCTAATTCCTAGCATAGAGCTGCAAGTGTTAGCCCAATCCTCAAGGCAGCTTTTAGAAAAGATAACCTTAGATTTTTGGAAGTTGACCTTTTGGCCCGAAGCATTATTAAACTCTTCTAAGGTATTTAGGATAGCTTCACTGTTCTTTTTGGTAGCTCTGCCAAACAGAGTGAAGTCATCAGCAAAAAATAGGTGGGAGATTTTGGGGCCATTCCTACTGATGGTAATTGGGAGCATTGCTTTTCCTAATTCCTAGCATAGAGCTGCAGGTGTTAGCCCAAACCTCAAGGCAGTTTTTAGAAAATATAACCTTAGATTTTTGAAAGTTGACATTTTGGCTGGAAGCATTATTAAACTCTTCTAAGGTATTCAGGATAGCTTCATTGTCTTTTTGGTAGCTCTACCAAACAAAGTGAGGTCATCAGCAAAAAATAGGCGGGAGATTTTGCTTACCGAATAATCCAATAAGTTTGATAGATTTTACCTTAAAAGGTGTAAAATTTACGTGTAATTTAGATTTGGACAAAGATAGAGTTTTCTTTTATTTAAGTTGTAGTTTAAGGCTGACTTAAATCACTTCGGACAAAAATAAAGAAAAAGGCAAAGACTTAAAAATAAAAATGACTTCCTATATAATTCAAATAAGGAAATAATATAATAACCAAAATCTTTGTTGATTTTAAATTTTTAGATATTAAAAAATTAATTTAATAACAATTTTGTCCAATGCAAAACTATTTTTAAAGGGTAAAAAAGGTGAATGACATTTCGCTTAGGAGATTCATGCTTTTAATATTACAACTCTCTATGTACATGCGTTGCTCATATACCTTGTCTCAGTAAGTAATTATTTTGTAAAAGTCACATAAAATATTATTCTAAAAATTTACATTTGAGTTATAAAATAAGAGTGTAAGCTCTTGAAATTAATAAGTGTTAGATCTAATATATATTTTTTTTGGTTTAAAAGATAAACATATATTAATATTAAGTATTGCGTACAGAGGGCGGATGCCTATGTTGCATCCTATTACATGCTAATGCACTAGTAGTGGGTGCCAAAGTATCACACAAGCCGATATTAATACTACTAACAACTGCATCACTATTACAATACGTATTTACAATATTATAGTTATCAGAGTGAGGCTTGAAGTGTTTCAAAACATGTCCTTGCATTGCACTCCTTTCTTGCTCAAAAACTGACCATGCAAAGTCTGGGTTGTCTTCCAAAATACGCACTACTAGTGAATGTCAAAATTGCAGCCTGCTTTTGCTAGTTTATCCGCAACCCTATTCTGCTCTCTGTACGCATGCAGTACTACCGGCTTACCTAACCTGTCCAGAAAGTACCTGCAGTCAGTAGTTAAATTATCAAATGAGACATTGTTAGAATAGAGAAGTGTTATAATGTCTTGTGAATCCACTTCCACCTCCAGTGGAACAAGGTTGTGTGAGTAAGCTAACTGGAGCCCCTGTAACAAAGCACGTAATTCAGCTGAAGTTGATGAGTCTGTTGGGACTGCTGCTGCAAATCCCAATATCCATTCAGCTTTTGAATTTCGTATCAGTCCACCAATACCAGCCTTATTTGCTGAATGTGCTCTATCAGTGTTTAGTTTATAGAAATGTTCTTTAGGAGGTTTCCATTTGAGATTTTGTTGTCTCTTTTTAACACTTGTATGCTTCTTAGCTACTAGGTAAGTAAATTCTACTGCTTGCTGAGTTGTTAATTTAGTAGAAGCCGTGGTCATAGTATGTTTGTAACAGTTATTATTACGTGCTAAACAAATATTCCATAAGCTTAGAGACAAGTATGTAGCTGGATTTATTTGGTAAGAAAAATGAAAACCCTTACAAGTTATGAGCTGGTGTACCCAGTTAGAAGAGTTTGTGTAGTGCAAATTTTGATTAATGAAATCAAGAATACCCAAATCCTGCCAAAATATTTTAGCATTTGTGCAATAAAGGAATAAGTTCCTAATAGTTTCATCCTCTTGATGGCAGAATTGACAAGTAGCATCTTGAATTAAATTAATATGTCTAAGGTAGTCCTTGGTAGGTAGTCGTTTTTTTTGTGAAGAAGCCAAATGAACCCTTTGATTTTGGGCTGCATAGGAAGTTTCCATATCCAGTAATATTTTGTAGAACTATTAATAGATACATCATGTTGTGCTTCTAAGATACTATACATAGATCTAGTTGTGAACTGACCTGTAGGAGTTAAACCCCAGAATATGCTGTCAACCTTATTACTATACTTGGATATATAAGTAGCTTGAATTA